GTGTTCATTTTATTCCCCCTAGGACGACTACGATACAAAAAAGAAACTGGATGGAGGGAGGGGCAGACAAGGTATTTATGGGAAAGGAAAAAAGGCGAGTGGAAATAGTAATTTATAAACAAAACTCTTCGCTCAATTTTCTCCTAGGATCAATAAAAAGGATTATAATCTTTTCAATTAATAGGCTTACGTCGTGGTTCAAAAAGTTTGTTTGGCTTAATCATGCTATGCAATTAAATTCTGAGACGGCTGGACTCCACAAAGAACACGATAAATCAATCTTTCTGGTCACGTCACCCCCATTTGAGGCGTTGCTAGCTCAGTTTTATAAAACACGTGTTCGAAAGATAGCCCCTGAGTGAAGAGGCAATGCAACTTGCACCCAAGAAGCCGTCAGCGAGTTTCATAGACGTTCCTAAAATGAGCGTGGCAGAAGACGGATCTGATTGTTGATTTCCCGTCAAGTAAAAAAAAAATTTACAACGACTCAGTTTTATGATCTCTCTAACATGGTCATTGTTGCACCTTTTTGGCTAGCAAGTATGTTATGAGCATGGTAACTTAACACTTTTCACAATAGAAGTGAGAATTTACAGTATTCAATCGGGGCGAGCATCTAATTCTTAATCGTACCACCTTTAGAGCTGGTTTCTATGGTGAAGAAAAACCTCTTTTGTTTTGAACAGCTGGGTAAGACTATTGAAGCGTCTTAACTTTTAATAAAATAACAATTTCCAATCCTAACAACTCTATGGAGACCGTCGTTTTTTGTCTGAAATCATCACCGTACATCTCATTCAGTCGTTCATGTACATGAAGTTAGAAAAATGATTATTTTGTAGATTATTTGCAAGAACAAGTGAATAAACCACCGGCACAACACCTGACACTGCTGCCCGTCTAGACAGACCCGACGTAAAGCAAAGTAGCTTGAGCATTATCAACTTTTTATTTTAGTGTGCAGCACCACAAACTATTTCCTTCACCATTTTTCAAATTTCCTACAATAAAAATCATGGCCAAGGACTGTTCCGTTGTTATGTTTTCAAGGAGCACAATAAATTCGGACGTCATAATGATTTATAATAACCTGCCAGACATTTACCAAACAAGCGAAATATAGAAACAAATTTTACAACATAATGAACACTCAGCTGGTGGTATATTGAAACAACTTCAATCAGTGATGACCTTTTTGGGGAGATGCCGTATAGAGACAAGACTTTCGTCGGACGAGAGGTTTCCACTGAATAGTTTTTTAACTTGTTCTATAATTTGTTGACTAAGCTAGTCTATTACTATAAGGTAGCTTAATTCCGTAACAATAATTGAAAAGGAAGTAGTTTAAATTATAATTTAATTACCAGTACATCTTAGCCGATCACAACAAAGGGTAGTGATTATTCTTTGATGCCTCAAATAAACTATAAACTATAAACTCAAATAAATTGTAGTGAACACTTTATTCTTCCTGAGTGAAATTTGTAAGTGCTTAAATATGCCCAAGTTCAACCCCCCTGAGGAAAAGGTCCGCTTTGATAACTCACGCAGTATCTTCTTTTTCATCGTGGGTGAAATGGAGAATGATATTAATTCGGCGGACTATTAGAATTTATTTTATTATTATTTTTTTAATTTGTAAAAATGAGTTATTTTAGAAGGTAAGATCTGCTTGGCGGGTGGCTTGTCTCTATGTACAAATCCCACGTTTCCCCTTTCAACACTTCTCGAAAAAAAAAAACGAGTGTATGTAAAATGGTTACTTTATCTTTGTATTTTGTGAGTGTGGTTTTCGTAGGTCTGTACAGCACTATGCTTTCAGCCTATCAGCTAATTTTTCTTTATAACTTTTGCAAGGGGGCTGAAACAAAACATTAACTTTTTAATTAGTCCAGCCAACTGCTGTGCTTTCACATAATTCCTATGCCATCATGATTGAGAGGAAACTAATCTGAGCGGAAGGGCAAAGTCGTTTGGCAGGCAGAGTTAACAAAAAGCGCGAGAGCTTCTTGAAACTTTGTCATGCCGGGCCCTTTCAGAAGCTTTCTGATTGGCTAGAAAATAGTTCTGACCTATCAGAATCGGCGCGAAACTCAGGTCCGCCGGCACGGATAAAAAAAAAAAAGTAGTCAGGGGCTTTCGTGTTCGTAAACTTTGAGTGTAGCGAAACTGCCCATGAATCGATCCGTGGATGATAAATAATTGACAATTTATCAGTTAGAAAAAATCCTTCTTTTCAGTTTACATTGCTCCAAGTTATGTATACTCGCCGTTCTGCTAAACGTGACGTTATTTAAGTACTGTTTTGCCTATGTTTTACTTTTTTTGACAGAAAAGAATGATATTTAAGAAAAATGCTAACTGCATTCAACATTTTTTGTTTGATCGGGTCGCTCTTTTGAAAAAGAAAAGAGCTTCTTTTCAGTCTTTCGGTTTACAGGCCCCTCAAGGTTTATTTAACTCTTGGCACTTTCACTAGAAGTAACAAAGTTCATTCTTCTTTGCCTTAAAACCGTGCTTTTCACTTTTCTCGTTGGGCGAAACTTGATATTGATATGCAAACTGCTTGTCACACAAACACAGCAAATGTATGGACTAACATAGCACGTGGAGCGGACAAAGCTTTGTGAAAAAACTGCTAGGTTAGAAGAATGGCCTGGCTATTCAGCCGTGAATAGGTAACTTTATTAGAACTATAAATACGGGATTAAGGTTTTCAATAGTCACCATACGTTAATGAGGCTGTGAAGTGCTGTTGTAGTCGTTTAAGTTCCAGTAACTACGGTTTCAACTTGCAGATAATCTGATATTGAAAATAAAATGCCATACATTGGACTTCATCATTTAAAGGGCTAGATGTCCTTTTTTTTTTGTTTGTTTACTTGTCAAACCCAGAGAACAATGAAGACCCTATCACACTTGACAACTGGAAGTTGTAAGCGCAAACTACCAAATTTCCATTTTAACTACTGGCATTTGTCCTACTTTAACTGAACTGAAAATTAAATAAACGTGGCGTCGGAGAAAAAAGAGTCGTGTAAAAAAGCGACACCCGTTTAGTCAAGCGCCGGATAAAATGATCGCTGCGGCAAGAAGATAGCAAAGGGCCTAGAGGGCATGTCATTGGTATATAATTAAGACTTAAGATCAGTAGGGCAGAGAAAAGGATTAATTGCCATGTTTTAGATTTTTCTTAGGGAACACTGCTTTGGAGGACTTTATTTGGTTACTGAAATGGTTTACTTTGTAATTATAAAATGGAAGATTTCACTCGGTTTGGTTCACTGCTGATCACAAAATTGTTAACTTGCTTCATAGCGCAAGAAAAAATTTGACTAACACCCTCTTATAATTCCTATAATTATGCAAGCATACGTATTAAGTTTCATAACTACGGAGGAAGATCATTGACTTTCTCGCCGTGATAGAGCTCAGGGACATGCAGGTGAACGAACAAAGAAATCGAGAAGTGTTTGGATCACTGTCTCATTATACACTATCGCAATTCCTTCCCTGTTCTATTGTCTAACTGAGAAGACAAAGAAAAACGCCTTACCACTTCGCATTTTACTACCCACGATTAGTCTAATACTACTCTAGAGGAATTACAATAAGCATAATACACCCACAAGCAAGATCAATTCTGACACAAGGTTGCCGGTAACCTCGCTTTTCTGGGTATTTATTTAAACACTGTCTACAGCGAAACATAGATTTTCAAGAGGGCCTTTATTACTACGAAGTGACACATTGTAAACAAGCTGGATGGTTCAAATAGACTGAGCGGTACCCACGTTTGAATTACAAAGCGTCATTTTCCCGTACTACTAAATGTCCAGTACCAGCCCTAATGCAAGGACGAGGTGCAATGAATAATATATCATCTTCGATAGAAGTAACCAAGGAATAAAATGGCCATATTTAAGCCAAAAGAATGCGGTCTCTGGGATATTTTTTAACAACATCAATTGAATATCATTGAAAAGGGTTCCATTAGCATGCAACAAAATGGAAAGAACGGTTGGGCGGAGAGAATTGTGTTTGAGATTAATTGATATAATTTTCTGTGATTTTCGAAGTAAGTAAAAATTAAAAAAAGATCAGAAAGTTTTTTTTCTCTTTTAAGGCTAAATCCTCTTGTAATAACTCACCATAAACCAGCCACCTGCGAACAACCGTAGAGCGCATGCGTGTTTAAAGGAGACGTCAGGTCTAGAAACAGGTATAGACCCTTTATTGAAACAAAAAGCCGACGCATCATTTTTCATCAAATGGTGGAAAAATTAGAACTTCGTGAAAGCTGTCATCAAGGACCTTTTTTACAACTATTATAGTGAAAACTTTATTCTATATTAAGACCTCCGACAAGTTGACGTTATTTAGTTCTAATTAAACAGAAGAAAACGAAAATCTCAGTCGACCAGTTCTGCTTTCTCACTTCGCCATAAACCGACTGGCAAACAAATAAAAGCAGGCTTACGAAAGTAACGAAACACAGTTATGTTAATCTTACTAGTCGAAGAATTGATCGCTTAAGGAATCACGATTAAAAAGAGTAAACTAAAATTGTGTTTAAATTGCTATTGTTCAAATCTCCATCTGTTTACCAGTGGTTTGTTTTCAGATAGTTATGATAATGGAAGAGACAAAACAAATGACCAATTTGAAAAATTTACAATAAAATACCAACTTGTATGCCGAGCGACCAAGTCGTAGGAGTAGATTTAAATGTTGAATCATGCCTAAATTTGTCGAAACAAGTTTGCGGACGGAAATACATTTCTAGCAAAAGAACAAGCAAATTATTGCTGAAAGGACCATGCCACAATGTAATATTCACTTGTAAACCACATGGAGCATTGCTCTATGAAAAGGTATCCAAATGAAAGAAAACTAATTAAACTCCAATTTACATATTTGCAGTGGATTTTAAAAGAGCATCTCTTGTAATTGTCTGTCATTATCAAGGCAGCGATCGGAACCGAAAGACTACCTACAACATGCCGCGTTCATTTCTTGTAAGAGGAAGGCAAAGTAGCTCGGGTCCTACAGAAAAATCTTCAAACACAAGTAAAGAAAAAATTTCAGGTGAGAGAATTACCCGACAAATTATGTGCTTGGAATATATATATATATATATATTTTTTTTTTTTTTGAAAAAAGAAGCACACGCACAATCCTTTTTTTAGAAAAAAATTGTGAATAATCAAGAAGAAGTGAGAAAGAATTGAACATGATTTGATTGTCCCGAGTACGCTTTGGTGTTAAAAACTAAAGAGGGTCACAATTCTGTGTCGTCAAATGAATTCTGACTGGATTCGGGGAAACCGCCCCACACCGAGTGAAATCACGCAGGAAGTCTCAAACACAAGGATTACTCTTAGACGCGAGAGTAGCAACATCGACCAAAACTGAGGTTTCATTCCCAAATCCACTGATTACTAACTAGGAGGATCATTCCTCTGGTCTAAATATTGTCTTTCCTGAAGTCATAGAATATAAGAAGGCCTTGGCCATTCAGGATAGTCTGCAAGCCACGAACTTTTCGTTCTAAATAAGCTAAGCTTTCTCGATCATCTATAAAAACGCACTTTTAAGTACAAATAGCGAATAAAAGAGTAAAGTAACTGTTTATCTTTAACGAAGTAAATGTGTAACAAAGGAATAGACAAAATTTACGAACTAATTTGTGCTTGGCTGTTCACGAAAGATGTCAAAAATTCTGCTCTCTGCTATATACGTCCATTATCTCTACCGACTATGATATTGAACATTTATTGAATAAGATAAATCGCTTTTAAAAATCTTATGGTAGGAAAGAAAACCTGTTCATTCGTAATGCCCCATTTAATTAGTCATAAGGAATCTTTTTCGAAATCGCTGTAAATTGGTCGATTTTAGAGAACCACGTTCGAAACAATTTATCTTATCTCGTTAAATGCTCTATTTTGCAACCCCGCCGGCGATAGTTAATTGCTTAACTGATAAAAATGGCGTATTACTCACAAGAAAAAAATTTAGTTTTTATTAACCTTAGTCTTACAGTTAAAAAAGAGAACAAGTTAAGCAGGACAACGAGATCTGCAGAGAGATTTCGTAGCAGAGAGACATGGTCCTTCTAAACAATGACCACACAAGCAGATATTACTTCAATGTGCGGGACGGTTCCCTTTTTACATCTGCGTTCCCATAAATGGGTACCTGAATCACGCATGAAATTGTCCTTTTAACATCACGCTAAAAATCCATGGATTTCCTCAACAAATATCATGTCAAGGGTAAAAGTACGAAAATAATTCTATTTTCAAAAAGTCAGTACGCGCAAATGAAGTGTGTCTGTTTCTGCTCTGTTTCGTTACTTGGTAGCACTTTGCGCACAAGCAGCAATGCGTAGCGGCACTGTCCAAGCACCTTCGTTTTATTACGATATCAGCCTTCAGTGTCATCTCCGATCGACTAAAAATTCGTGTTTCTTTCAAACATTCCCTTTAGTCGTGAGTTCAATACTTATGCTGTATTGTTGTCTTCTTTCCCTCAGAAAATAAAACGGAGAATTCATGTGCGGACAAATCAGCAGCTTCTACTACACCAGCCTACACTACAGAGCCTTCTCTTGTTCACGATTCTATATTCACTCACACTCCGAACACAAAGGAAAGCCAACATATCCGACTTCCCACCCTTGTTCGACGTCCTGGCCCTGAATTGTTTGACTCTAAGTTGCAGTTTGGCTTTCCTAAGATTACGTTCCCCATGACGCCACCGTCTCCGTTTGTGTTTAGGCCCGTTCCGAGGTATGGGAGTATTACATACCCTTTCGGATGCCCAAACTTTACTGGAAACCCAACGGGGATGAACTTCAACCATGTAGTTCATCAGTCGTCTTTTATTCCTAGACCGTACCCACCAGAAGCGTTCATTCCCACGGCAGGCCCTCCAAGCTATCGGGTACCCACGAGTTTCAACGACCTTGAGGGACGAGAGACTAAAAATTGCGATGAAACTGCACCTAACGACTCGATCGCCTTAAAAACAAAAGTCTACAAATGCCTGGAATGTGGCAAAGAATTTAAGAGGCCTTCGAGTCTTTCAACACATAAACTGATTCACTCGGATCATAAGCCGTACTCGTGCAGCTACTGTGGAAAAAACTTCCTTCGCAAGTCTGACATGAAGAAACATACACTTATGCACACAGGAGTGAAACCCTTTCAATGTAAGCAGTGTGGAAAGGTATTTAGCCAGTCCTCCAACATGTTAACGCACATGAGGAGACATACAGGAATTAAACCATTCCCCTGCAAGATTTGCGGAAGACGATTCTACAGAAAAGTCGATGTTCGCCGTCATACCATGCGACACGAGTACAGAACAAGCATTGAGGAAGAAAACGCTTAGTGAACTTTGAAACTTTTCAGTCGACTGCTGCATAATCATGATCGAACTGATAGGATGTGCCTACTGTAAGGCGAACACTTTTGTGGAAATAAATCCCCAAAACAGTTTTTTTAAGCTTGGTTATAAGTATGATTAAGCTGCGTTGCGTTGCTGTATATACACCGACGGTATAAAGTTGGCTGACAACTAAACTTAAATGTAAGCAAAGCAATGAGCACTTAGAAAAGTTAAAAATAGGTCGATTATGTCGTGTTCTGTTCTTTTCACATGTGTACTTAAGCGTTGTCTTGATATTTACCAGAGGATTCCAGTTTTATTTAGTTAAGACTTAAAAATTCATGATCCTCTTAGAAAATGGGAAAAGAAAAGAACTGAAAGAATGAGAAGGCGCAAAAAGAGAGAAGAACCCTTAGAGCAGAGCTGACACTGAAGCTAATTGAGGCAGCAAGATATCAGCGCAGTCAACAGCATTGCTAGTTTCTTTTCATTGTCACAAGAATTACGTCTTGATTTGAATTGTACTTGCCATATATAAAGAAACCTCACGGGTAACACGTTTTCTGATTGTTAACGAATTGCGCAAGAAATTATGATTACGAAGAAGAAAAAGATGTATCAGTTCAGTTTGCATACAGAGCTAGAAATTCAACCGGCCAAATGTTACTTAACGAGGGATAAAGGGCTTCAAGAGATATGGCGCTTAGCAAGGGTTAAAAGTTACTTTGTATAAAGATACCACACAATTGATTCTAGAGAAGATATTATGTCGCTTTTAAAAAGAAGAGGGTTATTCAATAAACAAACATGGTCAAACATGATATTCTAAGTCAGATAATATCTCAATATGACAAAACGACAATACCGTTTTGACATTGAAATGTGGGCTTCCTTTCTTTTTTTCAACACTGATCTAAAAGCTGTCATCTCGTGCAACTGTTTGAGTCGAAAATGGTCATCGGTCCAAAAAATGAAATGAGTTGCACTATAACATGAATTAAATAATTGTTTAAACAAAGCACAATGCCTGCTCTTTTGAAAAAAATACCCATCTCAGACGTTTTATAAATATTAATGCAACGCTATTTACGCTCATTTAAAATCTCGCCGGCATATCAGTTCTGACAAACTTAAATAGTATTCATGAATAAAAGAGAAAACCGAAGCCTTAATTATTTTTGCTTGCTTTGGCCCAAAAGAAATGTCCATCGAAATGAAAATATTTGCTGTCTTCACTTAAATGAAAGGCTTCGTTTCTGTGTTACCAGAAAGCACGTGAAAACACTTATCACATGTGATTATGGTAAATGGTTTTTAATATTCAGCCTTTCTTTATTCTTGTTATCCTTTGCCTAAAAGGTGATCATCATAATGCGTTACCTTCTATCAAATAAGCCAAAAATCTGACAGCACAAAGTTTTGTTAAAATGAGCCTCGTTGAGTGAATCGGAACTTTGTGTGTTTTTTTCTTCAATGCTTCGGGCATTTTCCGTAAATGAGTGACAATAATGTTATATTATACTTACCCATCTCCCACTAAGAGAGATGCTTATTAAAAAAGTCAACAAATTAGTGCTATAAACCACATTTATTTAGATTATTTAAGGGCCACTGACAAACAGTGTTAAACACTCCTTTTGCAACGGCATTGTCTAAGCTTCAACACTGAGTTTTTGACATTGTTAATTTCAATTTTTAGACGCGGATAAATAAAACCAACTTTGCAGTTTTCATTCGTACCATTAACAAGGACTTTTCTTGAATGATGCAATATACCCACAACGTGATACAACTTATCTGCCTGTCACATTTGTATCAGACCGGCCGTAGATGCAGGTTGAACATGGCAAATGCGCATTGTCGAAAAGCGAACGCCGTTTTACTTTTTTTCTCCCGGCTTTGTTGTTATTCGAGTCCCATAACATCACACTGAAGAAAAGCAAAGACAATTGCCTTCGTCTATTTGCCATGTGATAGTCAAAAGAGAAACAGTTCTCGCGGCCGCCAGGGCAACAAGGTGAGGTCTCAGTGGAATGTCATTTCAAAAGGCCTTCACCAAACCATTGTTACGACTTTATGAGAAACTCCAGTATCCTGTGGACAATGTGAACACTCGCAATACAAGTAATACTACAATAATGAGAAAGAAAACGCTTTCATAGCTCTTTCAACGCAAAATCACTTTTACTATAAGTTTATGATGGATCGCTTTCAACGAAAGACACGTACGGAGGAGCTTTCTACAGGAGGTTACGAGGAGATAAGAAACCTACATTCCAACTTTTCATTACAGAAACAAAAAAACATTCACGACCTTTGAAAGAAATCGCGGTCACAGTGCCGTGATTTACGAATGTATTTTTGTTCTGTGCATGTGCTCAAGGAGGGGGATTTGACCACACAATAATTATGACGTATAATCGCATAATGATTCTTGGTCATAATATGAGATACATTGCATGAATATATCAGATAATAAGTTTATTATTTAACACCGATCGTTGTTTGCTTAAAGTGCTCCGTCTCGAGTCCGCGAAGTATAAAGGTCGCGTAAAAAGGATTTGAAAAACTGTCGCCGGGCTGAAAATCAAGAGCTCAAAACTTAGGTTTACCGAGTACAGAAATTAAATGTAATTGAATATAATATATACAACAAACAAGCAAGGCGCGTATAAATAAGGTGCGGTTAATGGTGGATAAAGAAAATGAGTAACTTACATTTAATCATGACTTCCACTAGAGCGATTTACTTAACCCGTGAAACAGTTAACAACAACTAGTGCAAAGTAGCTACAAATAAACTAAAGAAGACAATAGAATTAGTGCATAATAGTGCGTAGTATTCTACTACCTATTTCACGGGGTAAGTAATATCACTCTATGATGATGAAAAAAATACCACATTTTCCAAAGTTTTTCTGCTTTAATAAGACTCTGTTTTGCCGTTGTTCTCGGAGGTCACACAAATTGCTCTTTTAAGCTGCTTTTGTTATATAAATCATAATTAGACCTCACTTTTTAGGTAACCCGTTTTGAACAAAACCACATATTATTGAGTGCGCGGCTAGCTAGCTTTGTCGTCACAAAATTTTCGTAGACGATTTACAAAAATCATATTTCAGTACGCTTTCCTAACAATGAATATTTCTTTTAAATTACCAATGTGATTTAAATAATTGAACTTAAAAAGTAAAAGAGAATGAAGCGCAATTTGTTTTTCAGTTTTATCGAATATTTAAGGGAAGGAACTTAAGATAACAATGGTAGGAACCCTCTTCCATGATCATCAAAACTGTCAATAAAAGAAACCCTGAATTATTTAAAAACGGCTAGATTTCCACCAACCTCGGTGTTTTAAATAGCTTAGATTACTATTTCATTTTCGGCTGATGACTTGGCCAAAATAGATGAGACTGTTACCTTTATTAGGGGGCGTTCTATTGACCTTATTCCGGAATCAGAATAAAGAGAAAAAGCTCACTGGAAATCAATTGTTTTTGCATGCATTGTGTCGTACCATCGAGAAATGAAACTTGATTAAAATGTCAGTGCGTGTAACACTCCAGTGGCCTGACTATCACGGTAGAAGAGATTTGTAACAGAGCTTCCGCATATTCTAATTACGGACTACGATCCATCTAACGCGCCGTCCGGCTGTCGCTAAGTTTTGGGCTACTTTCGACGTTTAACTGCTTGGTGGTTTTTTACGCTACGGAAAAGCATCCTTTTATCGCCTTGTACCTTTTATCCTACTTCGCATGTAGGTGAGTCTCGGACTGGGCCATTTTCGCAGCGCGCATGCGCAAGGATGGTTGACCCATCACGTGGTTCTCTGTGTTTATTTGTAACCTTCCCATGTTTCCTTGCGCGTATAGATGCACGGATGCTTGACAGCCTTTCACTGATACCCACACTACGGGCGAATCTTTGTTTACATTTTTTGCCTCATTAACATTTTCTTTTCATTTTCTGACGAAGCTGTTCGAATTATGTCTCTGAATATTGAAAGATTATAACATTTTCATTTATCTCTGAAAATTGGAGCCCGATATATTAAACAATTCGGAGAATCGCTTTGAACAACTCAAAACGTACTTAATTACAAAGAATGTAATGCAACAATTTCGCAGTTTCCGAATGTTGCTATTTTCTTTGTTGTTTCTTGAAAAGATCAAAAACTTGCAAGAATTGCTCAAGTTAACCAGCTCTTTCTACTTTTGAACCTAATTTTTTCAACGGCGAAGTCCTCTGTGAGTAAAAATGTAAACAGGTACCTGAGACGTCGGCAGACTTGTCTAGAAAGCTTGATGGATCAGAGTAAGATTCTGGAAATTTGCCCGTCTACCTTCTCCTAAGCCAACACTTAACACTAACTTCTCACTTGGGGGCAAAATGGGGAAGGGTAGGAGGATAGTCTCAAGGAATCTTCAGAGATACTGATCGTAAAACTGTTTCGAGAGGCCGTTTAAAAGTCGAAATGGTGGAACGATTATTTTCCATATAGAGGTGAATGTTTATTCCACTAAAATACAAAACCTCAGTAGTAATTAGAAATTAGTGACCAACATATTATTAGCAGTGTAAAAGAGCTTAGCCCCTTTATCCTACCTTGCGGTGTATCATTTCATTGTGAGCTAGGCTTTATTTGAGTTTTCTAAAGACCGAATTTAAAATTATCTTTCCTCTAAACAAAGAGAAAGACCATTTTGGAAGATATTTGTTGACCAGCACCTGTCTTCCGCACGCAACTTATTGTCTGCAAAAGATATTTTGACAAGAAATTAACGCTGTGTTTAATGCCATGTGACTGTCTATTGTTTCAACACAAGGCCTATATTGACAATATAACAAAAAGGTTGTTAAAATGAGCCCTTAAACTCTTGGTCTTTTTGTTCCGTAATTGTGACTATGGGCTTTGTTCAGTTGTCCTAGAGGCGTACAAAATAGCCTTGACGCTAATATCCCTTTTTTAATTCACTGAAATTGTCATTGTAACTGTTCTA